ACATCACACTTATTTTCAACTTAGCTCTGGAAAAATAAGAACAGCATCACAAGATCGTCCTCGGAAGCCACTCACAAAATCTCCACCAAAGCCTCGAGTGCTGCCCTGCTGTTTTCATTGCAGCAATCAAAACAGACTGCCCCAGGCATGGGGGCCTGATGGATGGGTTTCATTATAATTTGATGTGGGGTCTGATATTTAGCTGGGCTCTCATTTTCCCTACCTCTCCTGCTCTAGAAGATCAGACATATAAAACTGAGAGAAAGGTGATATTGTTTTTTTGATGTGTCAAGCGTTTTTGAAAAGGACAAGGTTTACTGCTAAGACTCCTGTTTGATGTTTGAACGGAAACACTGTGGTGGCATTTAAGTCTCTCTCTGCTGCTGTCAGGCAGTCAAACTCCAGGCCATAAAACCACCTTTTCAGACTGTTGTTTCTTTAAGCCAAAACGTATGTGTCTGCCCCTTGAGGTCCTCTGGGGCCCAGCGAGGAGACTGGCCTGTCTAGAGGAGACTGTGCATGTAGAGGAACTGCTATAAGACTGGCTGGTCTTACAGCTATGAGCAATTTCCAGTGATCAATGGGGCATCGCTGAATGCAAAGATGGGAAGAGATGCGCAGTAGCATACCGTCACATGCATTTCTGCCACAGATGCAACAGACCTGGCCTCGAGTCAAAAATGCAGCAAAATACTTGGGAAGTGACAGGTTTGACTATGTGTTAACCTCTGTTTTTGAAATTATTGATTTCATTGTAAGTTCATGTAACTTGTTTTAATAATGGCTCTGTTTAACAACTATTTAGTGAAATCCCTAAAAAACTAACAGTTGGCTCTCACAAACCTGTACAAGTGGACTTTAGTACACCACTGGCTGGGAAGAAACGTGGGCATCACGTGGCAGCTAAGGTCAAGTTCACAGCACTCCTGGGGTATCCAAAACTATCTGCGCAGAATTTAATGTGGGCAGGAATGACCAGAGAGTGGGCGGGTGGGAGCAAAGCCTGGAAAATGTTATTTTGTTGTGTCTGTTTTTGACCCTGTTTCTATTTCCAATCATGGGCAGCAACTGAAACCCAATCTGATGCGTGGCCACTGAGGTCTCCCTCTACAAATGCAGCTGTGTGAAATATTTCCATCATGTGCCACTCCCCACAAGGAAAGCCTGCTCCCTGATAAACTGGACAGAGGTAAAACTTGGCTGGGCATGGTGGCTCATGCCTGTAATCCCAGCATTTGGGAGGCTGAGGTGGGTGGATCACCTGAAGTCAAGAGTTCAAGACCAGCCTGGCCAACATGGTGAAACCCCATCTCTATAAAAATACAAAAATTAGTTGGGCATGGTGGCGCGCGCCTGTAATCCCAGCTACTCAGGAGGCTGAGGAGGAGAATCTCTTGAACCCAGGAGGCGGAGGTTGCAGTGAGCTGAAATCATGCCACTGTGCTCCAACCTGGGCAACAGAGTGAGACTTGGTCTAAAAAAAAAAGCTAAAAGTTGCCCCCACATTTTTCTAGACTATGTGGTTGTATCCTGAAGGCTCACTCCCTTGGTCAGCTCCTCATGCCCTGAGCCAAGTCACAGGGCAGGTCCCAGGATGCCCCTCAAACACCCATAGTGAGTAGTGCCTTCTGCCTGAGCCTCAGAGGCAGCCGAAAAATGTCCAGCTTGGACCGGCAGCTCGGAGGCCTGCAGAAGTCTCTGCCCAGTCATTTGCCAGAGCACAGCTGAAAACAGCCCAAGTCCAGGAGGAGAAAGGGTTATGGAAATGGATCTGTGTAAAGACACAGCGTGAGTGCAGTTAATTGCTGTCAAAGCATCTCGCTGCCTGCATTCATCTCTTCTGTAGGAGAACGAAATTGTCATAATGATGACGACTTTATTCAACATTGGTGCAACTACCAAGCCTAAAAATAGGACACAAAGGGGATATTTTCTTGAGAGGGCTGAACTCTGCTGCCCATGTTGTATGCCTGGGACAGTCCGCTCCTAAGATGGAGAAAGGAAAGGAGAAAGCTAAGATTCATTGACTGTTGTCATGTGCTCCTAAGAGGAGCATTTTACCTGTTTTTACCTACGTAATCCTTCCTTCCACTCCTTGGAGGGAGGGGTAGTGGGGTGGAGAGCACTGAGGACCAAGATTTGTTGAGCACCAATTGTGAGACGGGGTCAAGAAGCATTCTGTACATAATTTCCTTCAATTATCACGACAATACTCAAAGGGCGGTATTATGAGCCCCATTTTACAGATAAGAAAGTTGATTCTCTAAAGGTTAAGAAGTTTGCACGAGATTGTAGCCAAAATCCTTCTAATTGTACAGTCATTCACACAGAGCTGCTTGCTGTGAGACATGTGAGCTCAGCAGAGCCGCACTGCTGTCCCATCTACAGCCCCTTTTCCATCTCACATCCCACTGTCGAAAGGCCTTGGGTTGCAGTCTAGTCTCCATGACTTATTAGCAATTGTGACCTTGGCTCAATTGCTAGACCTCTATAAGCTTTAGTGTTTTCAGATACATCAAAGACAACAATCATTTCCACTCGACAGCATTGTTTGGGGGATTAAATGAGACCAGATATGTCAAGTGCTTTGCAGAGCATCCAGCACATAGCAAATACATGATGGCAGTGGTCATCATTATTGGCAGAGAACATGGCACTGAAAAGAGGGGCAGGTCCCAGCCTGACCTCCAGTCAGGATGCTATAGACAGGAACGGGGCCTCGGGAGGGCGGCGGCATCCAGGAATCTTCACTCCTGTCCCACACGGCAGTTGACTTCATGGTCCTCCCAAAGGGAGGGACTTCGCCCTGGAATAGGCACAGGGCAGGGTAAGGATGGTGATACAGTTTGAATGTCTACCCCCTCCAAATCTCATATTGAAATATGATTCCCAGTGTTGGAGGTGGGGCCTGGTGGGAGGGGACTGGATCGTGGGGGCGGATCTTTCATGAATGGCTTAATGCCATTCCCTTGGTCCTCCACCATGATTAGAAGCTTCCTGAGGCCCTCACCAGAGGCAGGAGCCATGCTCATACAGCCTGCAGAACTGTGAGCCAATTATACCTCTTCTCTTCATAAATTACCCAGGCTTGGGTATTCCTTTATAGCAACACTACAGTGGGCTGGCCCAGATGGTGGGGAAAACTCGCCCTCTACAGTTAGGTGTGCTGACCACATGCAAGGTGCTGTTCTAAGTTACTTGCAGGTATGAATTCATCTCATCTTTAAGAAAGCCAGTGTGGTCACTGCCATTATTCTTCCACCTTAGCCAAGTGCAAAGTAAGCTTTAAGCCGCTCTTCCAGGTTACCCTCTGACCCTTTCTTTGGGCACAGCCAGGCCAGGCCTATAGCTCTGCCTGTCTCAGGGAATGGGAACCAGTTCACCAACACCACCCTCAGGGGATGACTCTGCCCCCGGGAAGCTCTCTCCTTGATCCACACTTGGAAAGGTGAGCTCTTTGTCTCCCAAGGAAAATATTCACTTTGTGCTTTGAAAAACAGAGGAGTTTCTCCTGCTTTTTCCATCTTCTTCCCTTTGGTCACTTCTGTGGGATAAATAACAAGAGAGTGGACAATAAGAACAAAATTATGTGAGAAGAGGCAGACTTGGGTTTAAACCCCAGCTATAGCTAGACATACCTGTTGGTAGCTGTGGATCTCTGCAAGTGACTCCCTTCTCAGTTTCCTCATCTATAAGGCAGGCAGAGATCGTACCTGCCTCGTGGTATTGTCATGAGGATCAGGGAAAAGCATACGAAGCATCTAGATCACTGCCAGATGCCTTGGTTTATAACTGTTGTACTTGGCCACATATTCACAGCATCGAGCTCTTGTTCTGGGCTACGTCATCTGGGGAGGACTTACCTTCCCTGAGGCTCCCGAGTTCCCTCATGGGTGAAGTGGGGATGAGAACATCTAACCTGCTGTGCAGGATCCCTGTGAGGAGTGGGTGAGGTCACCATGTGAGCACTTTACACAGTGCCTGACACGCAGCACGGGCCCCATTAACTGTGCTCATTACTCTTATCTTTATCATCATGATTAGCTTCTCCCAGGAACTGAAAATTCACTGAAACACCCAACGGATCACTAGAATTATTTCCCAATCACAACTTGTGGGAGGGAAATAGCTGGATGTTTCTCTTTCATAAGCCTAAGAGCTGTCAGGTCAGGAACAGTGGTTCATGCCTGTAATCCCAGCACTTTGGGAGGGGAAGGGGAGCAGATCGCTTGAGCCCAAGAGATTGAGACCAGCCTAGGCAACATGGAAAAACCCCAACTCTACAAAAAATACAAAAATTAGCCGGGTGTGGTGGTGTGCACCTGCAGTCTACTTGGGAGGCTCAAGTGGGAGGATCACCTGTGCCCAGAAAGGTCAAGGCTGCAGTGAGCCAAGATTGCACCACTTGCACTCCAGCCTGGCTGACAGAGAGAGACCTTGTCTCAAAGAAAAAGAAAAAGCAATTTCTAGTTTCATTTTAATGGTCTTTGTGTACTTGCATCTCCTGTTTTGAACCACTTCAAACTGTTTTGAAAGGGGGCAGAATATAAAAGCAAAACAGCTCCACGGTGAGCAGCAACATGGATCATTCACCTTCTACATCCAGCCGCATTTGCAGGACGGCTGTGCAGTTGGATTAGCATCTGCAGCCTGCCATCCAAGGCTTGCCTCGGATGAGGGCCCTCAGTCTTCCCAGGAATTAAGCCAGAGCCAGGCCCAAGTGGCCCCAAAGGTAACTCTATCCCTAACAACAGTTACCTGGTCAGTAAAAAAAGGTATTGGCCAAGGGGAAGCCTTCTTCCAAAAATTATCACCTCAGATTCTCCAGTTTTATACAAGAAACCTCAGAGTAAAAGTCTGCCTTTTGATTTCCACAGAATTTTTAGCAGCACGAGGCCTTTTTGAAAATTTGCCTTTTCTTCCTATCAGTTTTCCAACCATATGTAGACAAATCCAGCCTGTAAATAGGTTGAAATGAGAGAGCCAGTTAAGTGAGACACTCAAGTTGTCACTGCATTTTAATAAACATAGCACACAATGTGTTGCTACACACACACCATTCATAAACCTGAGTCACAGGTTTCAGATGGGAGCTGCGGACGTGTATAAATAGCCGGTGTATGCTAAACAGTAGAAAAAAAGTTTGGGGAATAAGGTCAAAATCATTACGCCCAATTTAAACATCATAAAAATCTCAGCCTTGTCATTATTTACAACCCCCAGCACAACTCCCACCCGAAAGAGAACGCCAAGTGGAAAATTCTAAATAAGATCATGTCCTCACGTCGACCCAAACAGTACAAATGATGCAGTATCATAAAACAAAGTTATAATTATATTGTCGCCCTTCCTGGTTGCCGGCTGCCCATGGTACAGGGCAGCCACTCCACAGGATTTTCTGAGCCCTGAGCTGTCTGGGGTTTTTATAAGAACATAGCTTTGACTAGCATTGACCAGCTGATTCACATTAAATGACTCTGTGATGGTTTGAGGTGGCAAAAGAAGAATACAGCTTCTGTGGTAGAGAACTAACACTTTGAACATGTTGCAAACATTTCAAAAATCCATCTTTCCAATATTCACCCGTCCTCAGCTTTCACCAGGTCCCTGCAGACTTGGCCTTGACTCTGGTCCTTAGCAAGTAACTTCCAGCCTTCCAGCCTCCGTTCCCATGGCCCAGGAACCCAGTGTGAACTTGCAAAGTGCTGTTCAATGAAGTGGATTCAGGAAGCAGCAATTCTCTCTCAAGAGAGGTCTAGTGTTTCGTCACATGCTCCCCCATACCACTGATGCTCAGCAGGGCTCTGTGACCCCGTGTGTGGGATTCGAAAACCAAAGACTGACTCACAGGGCGACAACAGACACGCAGGGTTAACTCAGCTCCCGGCTGCAGCGTGATCCCAGCTCTCATTCAGTCAAGACTGCCTGCCGGGTCTCTTTCTCACATGTGCCCATTCTGGTCCCTCCTCCAGTCACCAGCAGAAATGCACCTCTCCGTCTCAGGCCTCTCCCATCTCAGTCTCTGATGACGTGCATGGCCTTTGTGTTAAGAGCTCACTAAAGTGTAGATCATGCTGAATGCAAAAATAAAAGGAAAAGAAGGGATTAGTGGAAGCGCACCAAGGACTCAGGCTGCCTCTCACGAGAGGGACCTTCCAGAGGCCAGACCCCTTGGCTTCTCCCTCATTCCTGTCACGACAGCATCTCACCCACTCCACTACTGTGCCCCTTCTACTTCCCACAATGCTGGAATAAACATTTTTGGGGAGAGCTTATTGTATCCCTTGGATAAAATATGTGATTGCTCTAAGTGCCTATTATTATTCTCATTGGGATGATGATTAGGGTTGTTTTTCTTTTCGTGCAATTGCAGGGCAGGCCTGGGTGGGGTGCAGTGAATACTTTATGCCATCGGCCACCACACACTTGCATGACGGCTGTATCTAGGGCCTCCCAGGTGATACTGGATAATATGCTAGTGCTGAGGAAAAGATCATCAGCACTATTGCAAAGGCCAGTGTGGGAACATAAGCCCTCTGGGCACTAGAACTAAATGAATTATTGATTGGGTAATTCCCTGGCTCTCCTATTTTCAATGGACTCCAGGAATCAAACATACCTTAAAAGCATGTGACCTTAAGTATTGCCCCAATACTACTAAGAGTGGTGATGAAGGGGACATGTATCCCTGTGCTCTTGGTAAGAACTTCAGGTTAATTTTGCAAAGCTGAGGAATGATCTGCAGCCAAATATACCTCCGTCTACCTGGCAGAGAAAAGCCCAACCACCTTTTCACATTACAGTGAGAAAAAAAGGCTCATCTAAGAAGTAAAACCGAAGGAAAGAAATGAAAAGGTTTTACTTCTAACCCTGTGGAGCTGTGGAGGTGCAGTGAGCTCTTCTGAGTAGCTGAAATTCCAGCTTCAGCAACCTGACACACCTCATGTGCACAGAGAACCAGTGGTCAGACCTGGAGCAAGAGGGACTTGCTCTACTTGGAGAAGTCGAGGGCCAGATGAGGAGTCGCTTGCTCAAGGTCACAGAGCTAGTCACAGCAGGCAGAGAAGCCACATCCTAACTCCAAAGCCAGTGCTTTTTGCATGATAGTACTAAGCCTCATGTGGATACTTTTGCTTACTCACTTTCATTCATTCTTTCATTTAATGTTTATTGCGCACCTGCTGCATGCCAGACACTATTCTCCATGCTGGGAAAAATGCTGAGTGTGCAGCCCCAATTCCTGCCTTGAGGAAGCATACAGCTAAGCTGTAGCAGCAAGCCACGAGGGTTCAGTGAGCGCCAGGCACTGGCCAGGACACCACAGATGCAGAGGTGAATGAAACCAACATGGTCTCTGGCATCAAGGAACAAGTAAACCTTAAATAACATAATTGCAGATGGAGAGAAATACACCTGAGGAGAGGGGCAGGCATGATCCACAATAACTGTGCAGGAGGGCAGTCCTACTACTTTAGGTTTGAAAAAAATCTTTCCACAGAGCAGACACTGCACACTGGGCTGGCCAGCAAGTATCTGCGTCAACTCGCCCCCTTCTAACACAACCCACAAATATCACCTGGTCCACGAGGCAAACTGAGAAGTGGGCTGATGGGTGCCATGTGGTTCAAGCAGGGTAGAAGAAAGAGCACAGGCTCTGAATCCAGATGGTGCCAATTATTAGCCAGGACTTGAGACACATTTCTTAACCTCTCCAAGGTCCTCAGGACCCCCGCAGGAGCCTCAAACCATAACCATCAAGCCTGTCTTCCCCACTGCTGTTATGTGGGTCTCTAGCCCTGAGCTCAGTTCAGAGACGTGGCTCTGCACCCACATGGGTCCCCTTCCCTCCCTGCCACAGTGGCCTGTGCTGACGCTCCTGTGCTCTCCACCAGCTCTGGATCTGAGGGGCCAGCAGCTCCTGAGGTGAGAGAAACAGAGTCTTTTAAGGAGCCCCAAAGAGCACCAAGGTGCCAGATTTAACAAAGAACGTAGGTGTCGGTGGCCGGCTGCAGGAACTGACTGTTTCCAATTGTGTTTTAGAAACAAAGTAATTAGCACACATAACATGAAGGCAGGGCCAAACTGAAGTAAGGAACTAGAGGACAGTCAAACAGAATGTCTGGAACATACTCGGTTCAGAACGATCATGCCCATCTAACCGAGAGAAGCTGCCAAACCCACCCCCGACCCCCACAGCTGAGCACCCACATTCACTTCCCTCCCTGTGAATTCACAGGCCTTCTTCCCGGCGATGCCTCAGCTCCAGCAGTTTCTGCACAAAACTGAAATGAGGGAAATGTCTTGCCTCCATCTTCATCCACACTGAGGTGGATCCCAGGCTAAAGGGCAGGAGCTAACGAAAACACTGGTGCCACTCTGCTGGCTTAGAGAGGAGACAGTGCTGTCTCTGGGGACAGGCCACTGAGCCCATCACCCTGAAGAAGGGGAAGTCTGTGGCTCCACAAAGAAACCGGGTTGAACACACTGCAGGGAAGACACCTAACCTCCAAGGTGTCAGATCACTAAGCCCATGACGGCTTTGTCCAGGCTCAGTAGTTTCCCAACACAGGAACCCATCTGACAAGCCTTTGGATGTTAAATAGTTCAGACTTGGAGTCAGAAAGACTTAGGTGAGCCCACTGGATACCGGGGAAATCTCCCGAGGCTTCAAAGACAATCAGGCTCCCTGCAAGCTGGAGCAGTAACATTCCGGAGCACCCCACAGAGTCTGCAGACACTAGGGATGTAAAAGGGAGAGAAGGCAGAACCGAGCAGAATGCTCCAGAGCCACCAGGGTGAGCATCAGGATGGTCCAGAGAGCTTGTTTCAAATGCAGAGGCCCAGACCCAGAAAGTTTGAATAGGTAGCTATAAGCCCAGGAATCTGCATTTTTAAAAAGCACACCTTCCTCCCTTCCTTACCACTCACTTTGATAAAGACTTTTCTAGATGTTTTCTAAAACAGCCAGCAGTTAAGAGTTACTGGACACGGTGGCTCACGCTTGTAATCCTAGCACTTTGGGAGGCCAAGACGGGTGGATCACTTGAGCCCAAGAGTTCAAGATGAGCCTGGGCAACATGGTAAAACCCTGTCTCTGCAGAGAAATACAAAAATTAGCCAGCCATGGTGGCACATGCCTATCATCCCAGCTACTCAGGAGGCTAAGGCAGGAGGATCCCTTGAGCCTGGAGTTGGAGGCTGCAGCGAGCTATGATCCTGCCACTTTACTCCAGCCTGAGAGACAGAGTGATACCCTCAAAAAAAAAAAAAAAGAAAGAAAAGGAAAAGGAAATTCAATCTTTGAAATCGGGACTCAAGATGGACTATTTACAGATACTATTGGCTGTGACTTCAGAAAAACTATCTAACTTCTCAGATTCAGTTCACTTTTCATATGCGAATGAGGATAGTAAGTATCTCATAAATTGAGCGATACATGTAAAACTCTGAGAGCAAAGTCTGGCTCATTTTTAAATGTCAGAACTTTGGAAGGCTAAGGCAGAAGGGTCACTTGAGCCCAAGAGCTCAAAACCAGCCTGGGCAACATAGTGAAATCTCGTTTCTACAAAAAATTTTAAAATTAAAAAAAAAAAATTAGTCAAGCATGGTGATACACACTTGTAGCCTCAGCTACTCAGAAGGCTAAGGTGGGAGCATCGCTTGAGCCCAGGAGTTCAAGGCTGCAGTGAGCAGTGATCGCACCACTGCACTCCAGCCTGGGCCAAACAATGAGACCCCATCTCTAAATAAAAATGTTTTAAAAATTAAAAATTAAAAATGCCAGACAAACGCAGCCACATTCTGACTGGCCACAGCCCAATCCAATCATAGGGGTGGGGTGGAGCCCAACACCCCAGCCCCTCCTCTTCGTCCCCTGGCTGCTGTCAGCCATGTCCTTTTGGAGACATCACTGGAAGGTTTGGAGGTCACCATGGCCCTGCCACAGGTAACAATGGAATCACAAGTGACAGGTGCGAGTCCCTAGAGTTGAGCCAAAGAGGAGCAGGAAGGAGAAGCAGGAGTTTTCGGAAAAGGCACTCTCTGGTGTGCCAAACCACAAGATAGTCTGTTTATGGCTATCTGCTTAGTTAGGGCGTTCTGAGCGGAGAGGTGAAAAGAGAGGAGATTCCTGAAGAGGACTGCAAAGTCAGCAGGTTTCTCTTAATTGGAATAGTGTTATGTAATATTGGGAAAATTGTAAATGAAGCACTTGGCGACCCAAAATGCCACTTTATGAAGCGTGACAGCCACTGTGCGGCTGGCACAGGGAGTTTGGGGCCTCTGTTATGGCTCCCAAGAATCCTTGCAAACAGGCTAGGGGGAAAGGAGCAGTAAGGATGAGTCCCCGGGGCTACAGGCAGCCTGGTGGGCTGACCTGAAGAGTTGTGAGAAGCCCTATAGGTAAGAAGGAGCAGCCAACTGTACTTCACCAGTTATCTCCAAGGGACGTCGAGTGTTTTCACTGTGTGGCCCTGAGGATATACCAGCAGCAGGCAAGGCCTCCTGCAGGATCTCCGGCCCCTTACTTGTTTAAGTAAGGAGCCCTTGCTCCTGAGCCAGTCAGACAGCTGGGACCACACAGACTGGCCATGACTCCCACCCTCACAGGCCCTCTCCCAAAGGCCACCTCCCCAAGGCCAGCCTGAAATTCCCTTCCATGTGCTGCAGGGGTCAAAACCACCAGGAGGGGCAGATACTCACCAGTAAAGGTAGTAGAAGAAGGAGAGGAGATAGAAGGCCAGCTTACACCAGGCCTCCTTCTGACAGTAACTCAAAGTGTCAGCATTCATGACCACCGGTGGGTCGTAGGCTAGTTCTGAGCTATCTGCTGGACAGTGGAAATACCTGCAGGGAGAAAGGACAGCATTGTCTCTGAGGTCCTGGTACTTGTGGCATCACCTGGGCAAGCCCTTCTGGAGCAGAACTTCTGCTGAGCAATCCCTGCCAAGCAATTGCCTGCCTTCTGTCCAAGTCACAGTTCCAGTGCCGCTGAAAAGTGGCTCAGCCACTATCTTCCAGCAGGTAGTAAGGCCCCAAATACTCCGATCGCTGGCATCAGGGCAATTTCACCAATATACAAAGCTGCTCCAGCAGAAGGGAAAATGTTTCACCTGGCATTGCCTGGAAGTCTGAGGAAGAGCCTCCTCTCAGGACAGGTGTAGGCAGAGGTACGGGGCTATACCGCCACTGCTGGGACATCACCGTGCCTCCATTCTACCCTACAAACTAATTTACACAGACCCTCAATGAAAATCCTAAATACTTCAGGACATCCTAGTCCCTCTTGAGTGCAGAGTAGTTTACAGGTGCTTTCCTTCTTGATAGTGGGACCTAGAACTCAAAAAGAACATCAGCCATCTGTGGAGAGAGAGTGGCCTCAGACGGCAGCTGAGTGAGCGGAAGAACGTGGGCGGGGGAGAGGAGGAGGCAGAGCGGATAACATGAACTGTGTCTACTTCAAAATACCAAGTTCCCAAGGCTCACCTGGCCACAGCCCCTGAGGAGGGGAGCCCTCAGGCTTGGTGAGACCTGGGGCAGGAGTCTGAGCCTCCTGAGCCCCTTGGGAAGTGGTCGCTGCCCTCAGGACACTGCCCCCAGGACCCTTGGCCACAGCCTCCTGCCCAGCCCAAGAACAAAGTGCAGCTGGAATCTCTCAGCGAGTTCCTTTTTCAGTCATTCTGGTAAAGGCACCAGAGGCCAGGCGTGCAAATAAATGGCTTCCTGGACTCTGGGACAGGCAGTGGTTCTCAATGGTGAGCAAGGGGCCCAGGGAGAGGGCTCCAACTGGGAGATGAATCCCACTGACTTTGAAGAACATCCCTGCAATGCAGCAACTCGCAGATCCAGCATCGCACCTCCTCCCCCTTCAGAGAATTGCACTGATGTTATCTGACACTGACACTGTGCTGAAAAGAAATCACAAGCCAGATTCAATGACAACTGCCAGCTCACAGCCCGCCAGGCCACTCACCTCTCCTCTTCCTGGGAGCCTATCCCAAAAGCTATTTGCTGTCACTGTGGTTTTGTTCCTAGGTGACCTCATTAAGTGGAGGCAGAGGGGCAGGGTAGCCAAGTGGCTCCATGGGAAGAGCAAATGCCCTGCCAGTCACCGGTCAACACACTGACCTTCCTTGGGTCTGAGCCTGTCTGAGCCTCAACTTTTTCTTCTGTGAAATGGGGGTGGAATTGCCCACCTCAAAGGGCTATTGTGACCATTATGTGAAGCGGTGAAGGGAAACAACCTAGGAAGAACAGGTCAACAGCAGACAGTCCTATTTCCTTTAAGCAAACTAAAAGGGGACTTTCTCTGTACGAGACACGTCACTGGACCGGACCTGTTGGAAGGGACAGGGAGTGAAAGGGGGAAAAGGGGCTCTGATTTTTGTTTTGTTTTGTTTTTGTTTTTTAAAAACTTTTAGTTTATATTTTCTAAAGATGGGGTCTGACTATGTTGCCCAGACTGATCTCGAACTCCCGGCCTCAAGCCATCCTCCTGCATTGACCTCCCAATACTCTGAGATGACAGGTGTGAGCCACTGTGCCTGGCCTTATATTTCTTTTTTTTTAATTGCATTTTACGTTTTGGGGTACATGTGCAGAACATGCAAGATAGTTGCATAGGTACACACGTGGCAGTGTGATTTGCTGCCTTCCTCCCCTTCACCCACATCTGGCATTTCTCCCCATGCTATCCCTCCCAAACTCCTCCCTCCCACTGTCCCTCCCCTATTCTCCCCAATAGACCCCAGTGTATAGTGCTCCCCTCCCTGTGTCCATGTGTTCATCACCTGCCTATGAGTGAGAACATGTGGTATTTCATTTTCTGTTCTTGTGTCAGTTTGCTGAGAATGATGTTCTCGAGATTCATCCATGTACCTACAAAGGACACGAACTCATCATTTTTGATTTCTGCATAATATTCCATGGTGTATATGTGCCACATTTTCCCAGTCCAGTCTATCATCGATGGGCATTTAGGTTGGTTCCAGGTCTTTGCTATTGTAAACAGTGCTGCAATGAACATTCGTGTGCATGTGTCCTTATAGTAGAATGATTTATAGTCCTTTGGATATATACCCAGTAATGGGATTGCTGGGTCAAATGGAATTTCTATTTCTAAGGCCTTGAGGAATCGCCACACTGTCTTCCACAATGGTTGAACTAATTTACACTCCCACCAGCAGTGTAAAAGTGTTCCTATTTCTCCACATCCTCTCCAGCATCTTTTGTCTCCAGATTTGTTAATGATCGCCATTCTAACTGGTGTGAGATGGTATCTCAACGTGGTTTTGATTTGCATCTCTCTGATGACCAGTGACGATGAGCATTTTTTCATATGATTGTTGGCCTCATATATGTCTTCTTTCGTAAAGTGTCTGTTCATATCCTTTTTCCATTTTTGAATGGGCTTGTTTGTTTTTTTTCTTATAAATCTGTTTGAGTTCTTTGTAAATTCTGGATATCAGCCCTTTGTCAGATGGGTAAACTGCAAACATTTTTTCTCATTCTGTTGGTTGCCGATTCCCTCTAATGACTGTTTCTTTTGCCGTGCAGAAGCTGTGGAGTTTCATTAGGTCCCATTTGTCTATTTTGGCTTTTGTTGCCAATGCTTTTGGTGTTTTGTTCATGAAGTCCTTGCCTACTCCTATGTCCTGGATAGTTTTGCCTAGATTTCCTTCTAGGGTTTTTATGGTGCCAGGTCTTATGTTTAAGTCTTTAATCCATCTGGAGTTAATTTTAGTGTAAGGTGTCAGGAAGGGGTCCAGTTTCTGCTTTCTGCACATGGCTAGCCAGTTTTCCCAGCACCATTTGTTGAACAGGGAATCCTTGCCCCATTGCTTGTTTTTGTCCAGTTTATCCAAGATTGTATGGTTGTAGATATGTTGTGTTGCCTCAGATGACTCTGTTTTGTTCCATTGGTCTATATCTCTGTTTTGGTACCAGTACCATGCTGTTTTGATTACTGTAGGCTTGTAGTATAGTTTGAAGTCCGGTAGTGTGATGCCTCCTGCTGTGTTCTTTTTGCTTAGAATTGATTTGGCTATGTGGGCTCTCTTTTGGTTCCATATGAAGTTCATGGTGGTTTTTTCCAGTTCTGTGAAGAAAGTCAATGGTAGCTTGATGGGGATAGCATTGAATCTGTAAATTACTTTGGGCAGTATGGCCATTTTCACAATATTAATTCTTCCTAACCGTGAACATGGAATGTTTCTCCATCTGTTTGTGTCCTCTCTTATTTCATTGAGCAGTGGTTTGTAGTTCTCCTTGAAGAGGTCCTTTACATCCCTTGTTAGTTGTATTCCTAGGTATTTTATTCTCTTTGTAGCAATTGTGAATGGCAGTTCGTTCTTGATTTGGCTTTCTTTAAGTCTGTCATTGGTGTATAGGAATGCTTGTGATTTTTGCACATTAATTTTGTATCCTGAGACTTTGCTGAAGTTGTTTATCAGTTTTTAAAGGACTCCTCCCATCCTCATTCTTTTTTTCTTTCATGTTCTGAGAACTTACTAATTGCCAGGAACTAGACTAGATCCTGTCAAGGATTCAAAAAAAGGTAAGACAAAGCCCCTATTGGCAAGGAGACTACAGCCCCTCCCTTTTCCCATAGAGATAAACTTTCAAAGTCTAAGGGTACTGGCTGCCTTTCCTTCTCCCTCTTGGACAAGTGCTAGCCCTATGAAGCAGTGCCCTGATCCATGTGTGGCCAATTAACCACATTTCCGATGCCCTGGCTTGACAGCCCCCTACTTGAAGGAACTTGGGACAAACTCCTTTCCTGGGGAGAGGAGCCAGCCCCTGGGGCACTGTGTCAGACAGCAGGGACTTGGACTGGGATTCATACAGAGGTGGGGTGGAAACTTGGCCCAGCCATGTCCGAGATGAGGAATGCTGGACAGCTGACATAACTCTGTGAGTCTCTGTGTCCCCATGTGTCAAACACAGAAAACGAAATCCAGCTCACTTGGCTGTTGTGAATCCTGGATCCCAAGTGGGGACTCGATACATTTCCACGCCATAACTTCTATTTGACGTCTCTCTAATTCAGATGATAGCAGATTACCTTTACTTAAAGTGAGCCTTCTCTGTGTAAACAAATATTTTTCCTTCCTCCCTAAACCTGAGATTTCTTCTACCCTGCTGGCCCTAGTCAATGGCACCATCGACCTCCCAGCCACCCAGCCTAGAGGATTCCCCTCCCTCACCTGCACCCAGTTATGGGCCAGGGCCCATCCAGATCACCTCCACGGGTTCTCTTGTTCTCTCACCATTCTCACTCCCACTACCTGGGTCAAGGCTGTCTCATCTCTCTACATGCAGTTCTCCCCAGAAGCTCCCAGTTGATCCTCAATATTTCACCATCTAACCCATTCTTTACACTGCTTCTCAGACCACCTTTCCAAAAGTCAGATCAGGTAATGCCATTGTCTTCTTCCAAAGCTTCTGATAGTTGTCCATTACCTACAGAATAAATTAATTCCGCCTTCCCTATCAAGTCATTTCAGGTCCTCCATACCATACTCATGGCTATCTGCCAATCCTCTCCTTATTTCCCTCTGAGAATCCTACATCCAACCTCACCAAACAACTGCCATTTCTCAAACACACCAAGTGCTCTCTGAACTCTAGGCCTTTGCAAACTGGTCCCTTGCCCTGGAACATGCTTTTCCAGTATAACTCTTGAGTCTAGTTCAAGTGTTCCTTTCTCTATGCTCCTACCTGTATTCCTCATACATCTGATAAGAATGTATTTCCCTCTGCCACTAGGATGTACATTCCTTAAGGGTAAAGGTTTTGCTTTGCACTTAAGTTGAAATCCCTCACAATGCCCAGCATGTAGTATGTATTCCATATGTTTTCTAAATGAAGGAGTACATGTTTTAGGTGTGGCTAAATTCAAGCCAGATTTTATGGTACAATAATAATGATCAAACACTTTGGAGACCAATGCTCTGGCAGCAAAGGGTCAAGGGCAGGCAACTTATCTGCACAAATACCTTCTCTACGACTTTGGTATTCCTCCACCTCTGCCTCCTGTGTCCATATGGTGACTCTATTTTACAAAAATCCAAGAATCACATGATCTGACGCATGGTCTTAGCAGGGAATAGAATATATGAAATTATAACTGTCCCAGAAAATCCAGCCCATCTGGTAGGTGCTTTTTATTTTATTAAGATATAATTTACATACCATAAAAGTCACCCTTTTAAAGTGTACAACTGTACAGTTCAGTGGTTTTTAGCATATTCATAGAGTTGTGCAACCATCATCACTATCTAATTTCAGAACATTTTCATCACCCTAAAAAGAAAACCTTAGACCCATTAGCAGCCATTCCCTATTCTCATACCCTACCAGCCCCCAGCAGCCATGAATTTACTTTCTGTCTCTATAGATTTGCCTATCCTGGATGTTTCATATAAATAGAATCATAAAATATGTGGCCTTTTGTGTCTGGCTTCATTCACTGATATTTTCTTTAGGGTTCCATGTTGTAGTATGTATCAGTGCTACACTTCTTTTTATTGACAAATAATATTCCATTGTATGGATATACCACATTTTGTTTCTCCATTTATCAGTTGATGGGAATTTGGGTTGGTTCCACTCTTTGGCTGTTGTGAATGCTACTGTAGCTGCTTTTAACTCTGACCCACAAGGCACGGGGTTGTGGCTAATGAAACCAGCAAGAAGGGCCTTCCCTTACTGGACCTGCTGCCTGAGAGCAGCTCAGGAAGGGGATTAAAGAGAGAGACCCAAAAAGGAAGGGATAATTGGAAGGCACTAGAAGCTGTCCATTTGGGGGACATCATCACTGGACAGCAGGCTGCCCTGGCAGAAAAGAGAAAAGATAGGCCAATCCCAGTCCAACTTACCTCCAGAAGTGATAGAAAAGTAGAGGGACATTCAGCCCCAGCGTGAGCCACTCTTGCGCACACAGGAACATGATGCAGAATAGGCTATGGATGGAGTATTCTGGCAGCACCAGCTGAAGAGGGAGCAGAGACACAGCCCTGGGTTAGAGGAGGGAAAGCCACTCCTGCTTCTACAGCAGCTGACTTCTGCCTGGACACTGTCTCTCCCAGGCTGGTGACATGAAGGCCTTCCCTGCAGCAGCAGAGTCACCGGCCCGGGACAGATCCATTTCTGACATCTTCTTCTTTTCATGACGCTCTTCTTTTTTATGGCACTCTTCTTTTTATTATGCCCAACCCCAAATGACACAAGCCCTCAGTGCACTACTTACTATTAACAGAATACCGCACTTACTCCTAGGGGTCACCCATATATGGCCACTGGGAAGACTGGAAGAGCTGGTCCAGCCCATGTGCCATCTGACCCAAGGCAGGACCCCTAGGAGAAATACTGCTAGAGTTTCTAATGAATCCATAACTGCCCCACTCTTGTTTCTCTGGCTCCTGTGTATCACAAACCCAAAGTGTATCTGTACGATTATCACAAACATAGGCGGGTGAAGAAAAAATGGCGCTCCCCAGGAGGTAGGCATTTTGCCTGATGGTGGATGGAGAAAGAGGAACATAAGAGAAAGAACAATTAGCAATGATGAGGAAGGACACCGTAGCCTCTGGAGGGAGAGGGAAGAAACTGACCCTGACCCAGAAAGGCCTGATGCTAGGAAGTGAGCAGCAGGAAGACTAAGCTCTCCTGCCTCCAATCCAGCTGCACAGGTATAAATGGGTAAAAGGAGCTTAAAATCATTGAGAAGCCCCTCCCAAGGGTACTTACATTTTATCAAAAATCAAAGTTGTAAGCTAAAGGGTAACTGTAAGGAAGAAATTGGGCCCCTAGGCCAGCAGTAGGGAAGGCTGCAGATATAAATGCATCATTTTACCCACTTATAGAGGAAGATATAGGCATACATTACTAAATATATTTATGTAACATATAAATGTACTTTGTATGGCTTAGGCTACCATGGATGCTTTGGTCTTCCCCTCAAAACCTTTTCAAACATCCTTGCGGGCCCAACTCAAATGCCACTTTTTTTTTCTTTTTTTTGTGTGTGTGACGGAGTCTCACTCTATCTCCCAGGCTGGAGAACAGTGGCATGATCTCGACTCATTCTAACCTCTGCCTCCCAGGTTCAGGCAATTCTCCTGTCTCGGCCTCCCAGTAACTGGGATTACAGGCACCCACCACCATGCCTGGCTAATTTTTGTATTTTTTAGTAGAAACAGGGTTTTACCATGTTGGCCAGGTTGGTCTTGAACTCCTGACCTCAGGTGATCCACCCACCTCGGCCTCCCAAAGTGCTGGGATTACAGGCATGAGCCACCATACCTGGCCTCAAATGCCACTTTCTAATGGGAGCTCTCCCCACCCTCCCTTGCTCCCTTGTTCCTTCGCCTTCCGCTGTACCTCTGGGCCCCACAGCGTGTTTTCTGACCCTCTCCCAGGAGTACTTTCCATAATCCATCCATTGTGGAGTCATCATCCTCTTCCCACCTCCCGGTGCAGATAGACTCCTCTGTACAGCATTCTGCAAGCCATCTTCGCCAATGTCTATTCTTTTCTCATTTCCACTTGCAAAGGGCCTTTGTACAATGCACGGCAGTTAGTAGAGACTTAACAAATACTTGGTAAAGTGCATCGACCTGACCAAGTGTATATGTTTGTAACATGGCTGGCTGGCATTAGATACCCAGCCTGTGGTTACAAACTAAGATTTCTTTGGGTGGAAAGCAAACTCCCTCAAACCATCCCATTTGGGTATGGACCATGACTTTAATCTCTCAATTTAGTTAGCTGAGCTAACTCTCCCAGATGGCAGACACAGAGGGAGAAACACATACGCACACATTAAAAATAAAGACATGCACAGCACACGCCTAAGACATTTTGTAACTATGGGGCACCTTCTTTATTCTCAAAAGTCCAGTGCAGATGAATTGCATTAACCCACACCATAGATTTCCCAGGCAGTCACCTGAGGAATCAGAGCAAAGGAGCCATCATTCCAGAGGTGGTGACCCTGGGTGGGTGAACCAGGCACAGCCAACCCCTGTGAATCTCAACCACCTGGCAGGAGGGGGCACGCATGTCCCTACTGTATCTCCTTATAGGACCTCAGAGCTGTGCTTACCAACCCCATCTGCCCCCAGCCAAGGCACCACCCTACCCCCTCCCATCCAAAGAAAAAGCCCACTTTCTCAGGGCTGGGTGCACCAGCCCCAGGAGGCAGTGGCTGTGAGTTCCCCTGTGCACATCTCTACATTTTCTAATCATCAGTTCCAGCCACTTAAGCTGAAGTAATTAACATGTTTAGAGATGATTCAGGCCCACCCTGGGCCTGAATCATCCATTATTGCTCCATCTCCATCTCCAATTCCAATTCCAATGATAAATCTCTGATTACAGTTTGGATTTCAGGTCCCACTCTTAATCACCACTGCTTCTTCTCTCTTTGAGGTTTGATTTATTGCGGAGGCTGCAACCTTTCAAGCAGGGAGGATTCATCGCTGTCTCCACGTAAAGGAAAACTGCTTCGTGGAGGCCAGGTAGTCCCAGAGGTCTCCAGCCTTTTGGAGAGTGGGAAAAAAGCTGAAGAATTTATTCTGCTGTTTCAGGTGGCCTCTCAAGGTGACTTCTGACTATCTACCACATTGAACAGATCCTTACAAATAGAAGAGCCTCCTCCCATTATCAATCCATGGACTTTTAGGAGTAATAGTGACTTTTTGATGCACACAGCGGTCCTTGCCTACTTCCCCAGCTGCTCCTTGTCACAATGATGTGGAAGGGACAGGGAACCTCTTCCTTCTAACCCAAATGGGAATCAGCCAGGTCATTCACATGAGGCCTGTACCATAGCCATTACAGCTTCCCTCCACTCACACCCAGCACTCTGCCTTCTGGAAGGTGGTAAGGTTTCATTTTCCAGCTCCCAGAACTTGGGGGTGCCAATGGGCTGTGGGCAGAAGTGATGTGAAGAGAAGGCTGGACCATTTCACGGCTGATACAAAAAAGTCTCTTTTCCTTGTCCTCTGATGAAGCAAAAAGCATTTAGGATGGTGGGTAAGCCATAAGTAAAGAAAGAGGTCCCCAGGCAATTCATGATGGACTAGAGTGAGAGCAATAAAGAAACTTGTGTTGTTTTAAGCTGCCAAGAGTTGAGTATTGTTTTTACCATAGCATGATTTAAACGATCTCATATGATACAGTCAGCAAACCCCAGAGTGAGTAATCAATGGAAAAAGCAAAGTTTTGTTCTTCACTCTTTATCCTCCTGCAACTATCCACCCAGCCCTTCCTTAACAAGACATCGAGGCTGGCAGGACACGGCTCCCTGTCACTGGACATGCTCAGGCAGGGCTGAATAACCACCAGGCAAGCATAATGCTTATTCATGTGTGTGGGCAGCCAGACTCAGTGTTCCCTCCCAATTCGGAGAATATCTGTTACATAAAGACCACCCCTGAAGCTTCCAGGCAAAATTCAGAAATGCTGATGCAAGCACTCATCACAGCCCCATGACCCTGAGTCATGTCTTAGCTTTGGAAAACACTGTTTTTTGAATAAGAGAAGCTGTTGAATGGTCCCAATCTCATTCTTTCACTAACAAAGGGAGAAACTGTTTCATGCAAGCCACAGCCTATTCAATTGCCATGTATTATTATACCCTGCTTTCTAGAGTTATAAATCCCAAATCTCAATATGAGTCTTGTGGGATTACTGAAAGACTGCAATTCATTCCAACCAGGGGGGATCATGGAAGGTTTGTGATCAAAGGGAAGTGGGAAAGGGTGAGTAAAACCTAACCACGTGTGGGAAGCAGAGGTCGGCATTCTAGAAGTGGAACAGTGACAGCAAAAGCAGAGAGAAATGGAAGTCACTGGCCTGGGGTGGCTCCTTAACAAGGCCATCTCAAAGGGCCTCTATTCAAGGACATTAATAATATCAGGCAAGGACTGCGTAAATGCTACCTTTATTCCACCTGTCCTGACTTCCTGTCCAGGTGCTCATAGTCAATTTTCATTTGCTGGCAAACATTTCCATCTGGATATTCCCCAACCACTTTGTGCTGAAATTCTCATTCTTCCCAGTACCTGCAAACTCTATCCCCTAAATTTCTGACTTCTACTAACCACACCATCTCTGACTCCTCATCAATCTCCATGAGTCTGTTGCCAAATCCTGCTTTTTCACTGCCACTTGCATTTGTTCCTCCCTTTTTATTTATTCTGCCCCTATTGGTCTGGGCCCTGGACCTCCTCCCCAGGCTGGTGCAAGAACCTTCTAGCAGGTTTCCATCCCTGTTCACCTGTGCCCTCCATCCAACAGAGCAGTATGTGCCGTGCTCAGCTCAGCTCAGCATTAAGCCATCATCCACAATCTTGTTCTTCTAGGAATTTTCCTGACTTGTCTGCATTCTAAATATTTTATTTTTAGTTATGCATCCTCTCCTTCATTCATGTATCCATTTGTTTGCTGCTTTATCCCATCAATGACCTGCAGCTAATTGGCACCCTTTATAGACTCTGAGAATTATGGAATCATGTGCCAAGTCCTGTCTTGCTTTTACTGCTGTGGTAGACAGGGGCATTAAGGTTTGTGAGAGAGATTCTTTTTATCCCCGAAGGAAAAGAAGTAGAAAGGGGATGCTAGGAGTTGAAGCAAGGGAATAATGCTCCCTGGTGGAAAAAGGGAATTCTCTAAGACCAGGGGAAGGAAGAAGATAAGGGAGACGGAGAGGCAGCAAGCGCCCCTGGTGTTGGAGATCTACCTGCTCCTGGCTCTCACCATGCACCCCAAGGGCATAGGATTTCTGAGGGGCTGGCGTCGGCATGCCTCGGACCAAACACATTAAAACTCACAGCCACGGAAGCCACAGGGAAGCTCTTGGGGCTGAGTTTATCTTGAAGAGAGTGAGAGCTGTGAGACTCAGACCCATCTCTGAATCCCCCTGTCGACTCAGACAACAAGCTTTACAGCTGTAATCCCATAAGTCTCAATATGTTAGCCCAGTGT